GTAGTATGAAAATGGCTTGCCACAAACCATTTTAAACACTAGTTATATAGAATAACTGCTTGCCATACACACACAGGTACCTCACAACTAATTCTTGTTTACTGTGTGGCTGCAGAATGTTTCACACAAMTGATTTGAGTCAAACAGGCAGGTCTTCAAGCTTCTGCAGGTTCTTCTGAAGCACTGACTTGTGCTTCTGTTCTGCTGCAGGTGTTAGTTTAATAAAACCTGCTCACTTAGAAAAGACCACCTGCGACTGATGTATCTGTCATCTATGTCCCTGTCCTCCATGTTCTAACTACCTACAGTTTATATGAACGTGCACATTTGTTTTAGTAAAACTGTTTTATGTATTTTATAAGTGTTGTATGCTCCCTGATCCATCATGTACCCAGGCACAAGRGATCCACTGGTTACTACTCCAGACTGACTGGTTTCAAGTGTGAAATTCATCAAATAAAATAAAACWATTACTCACAAAATGACTTTTTAAAGTGCTACACATTCTCTCTGAATTGTTGGTTCATAATATTTTATTGTACTGAATAATATAAAATAAAAAAAAGATTTTATTTTCAAAAGAATGAACATCTGGCGGCTTTAACGCCCTGAGGACGTTTTTACCAGCTTAATAATGAAGGAAAGTAACTTATTGCTAAATAAAAAAGTTAAAAAAAAAAACTATTTTGTTTTTTTTTTGGGGGGGGGGGGGCTGTCTTTTAAGATATTATAATGATTATTATTCAAATATATGACATTATAACTCTTCAGGCATTCATCTGATAATATGCCAACAGATCTCAGACAGGAAACTTGTGAAAAAATGTTTCAGAAATTCTGGGAATGTGATAAAAGCAGCAGAGAAAAGGATATCCTGCTGCTTGGCTGCTCTAAAAGTTTGTCTTCCAAAAAAATAAATAAAATAAAATAAAACTATTATGATCCCAGAAACATGTTTGGTTTAAAAGTGAATGTACGCTGTGTTCAGGCTGGAAGTCTTTCTGCTCAGGAATAATCAAACAGTTTATTCTCAGCAGATTTCATCGAGACGTTACAATGAATTAACGATGCTGTTGTACAGAAATATCAGCTTATTTCTGTTTCCATTTAAACACCAAAGATCCTAAACCTGTCCTCCCAGTGCTTCAACTCCATCATAAAAGAAAATGCTRCTTATTAACAACGTTACAACTGCTGCTACGGACAAAAACTGTTGGATAATGACACATAAATGATTTTATTACAGTAATAAACTGCATCCCCTTGTTAGGAAACATGTCTGCTCCAGTCACAGTTCATAGCAGAAATGTTTGGTACAAAAATAAAACTGCACATTAAAAACAGCATTTAATATCTAATAATAAAAGAGGTGTTTTATGACAAAAGAAAGAGCAGAAAAGAGAAAAGGTTAGCGCTGAGTGCAGCAGCAGCCACCATATTTAAATAAAATGTCACCAAACAAAGGCAGYGTGCCTCAGAAAACACCAACAAACAGAATATATTTGGTGTGACTGCAGGCTGYGAACACACATCAGCACTGTCAGGACGAGTCATCGGCAGAAAAACATCTCAAAAAAACCCTGAGCTCCTTCAGAGAATAAGAATAAGAGAAAAAAAACACTTTTATCCYAATAAAGACAAGAACCACAGAAGTCAACCCAGAGTTTAAAAACATGGCTTTGCTTACCTGTATGAGAGACATGTTACGTAAGTCCAATCTGAAAAGGTAGTTTCTGAAATCAGATAAAAAAAAGAGACGGAAATAAATTTCCTTCATTGTGTAAAAAGTTTTTTGCATCGGTGTTCAAGAGATAATTTGGTCATTTTTGAAGTGGGTTTCTGTAGAAAGCTTTTAACCAGTTACTGTCTCATTATTGTGGGTAGCTCTTTGATGGCCATTAGCTTGAAGAATTTAATTCTGACCACACTGATGAGCAAATGGCTAGTCAGAGCACAACAAAAATCAAACTGAACAGCTCTCGCCTGGAAAATGTAGTCCTTAAAATTTCATGGTGGCTCATCCGAATTCATAGACCTTTACATCGCTTTTATAGTTTCAACACATGGTTATTTATATTGTTTTATTAATGACTGTAAGACAACGAGCAGCAGTAGTTAGCTGTAGCACCTCCAATGCATCCGTAGTTAATGAAATATTCATTAAACTCCAAATGTTAAATCCAGCAGGAACACTGTGGGGTGTCGTTTGTAAAGTTACACAGTCAAAAATTACCACCAATATTTTGTTTTATTTAGCCT